TTTGTTTAACCCAGTTTCTGATTTAAATGTATCGCTCTCCAACTCTAAGAATTCTACCTTTATCCTCTCACTTCAAGGAGGATTCCTTACGACAAGATTACCAACTAATTAATTCCGTCTCATTGCACAAGACAGGATCTAAAATAGTTTAAATAAAACAAAAAGAACTGTGGGTGTTGGAGATCCGAAACAATAACAGAAACTGGAGAAACTCCACAGGTCTGGGAGCATCTGTGGACAGAAAGTAGAGTTAGTGTTTCTAATTTGGTGACTCATCAGAACTCGGACCTCAGGACAGTTCTGATGAGAACAACCAGACTCAAAACATTAACTCTACTTTCACTCCACAGATGCTGCCAGATCTGCGGAGTTTGCCAGCAACTTCTGTTTTGATAACTAAAGCAGTTTGTTTCCCAGTCTGATTTCTTACCCTAAAAAAAAAATCACAATCTTGGAATGTATGCCATGACTCAGCCTCTCCAACCTATGTTTCTCCAAATCTATTGGAAGTTCAAAGCCCTTTGCGATTATTGCATTGCGTTTGTTACTCGAAATTATGATTTCATACTCTGTCCAACACCAAAATGATGTTTTAAATTACTCCCACCAATATTTTCTGTCCATTATAATTTCTTTGCTCTATCCACATTAGCGCTACACCCTGATTTGTTTGGCTAATTTACTTGCTTCCTTCTGCCTTCATCTCATCCTTTAATATTACAGCTACTCGTCACCTGTCTGTGTTGTTTATGCTTGTCATAAAGAAGTCAAGCAACGTGGAGCATTTAGTTTCTAACTTATGTTTACCCTGCAATGCAAGTAATGGTTACTGCATCAAACTCTGTTGTCTCCACTTGTACCATTGATTCACCCATCTTGTTTTATATGCCCATAGCTAATTGCCCAGAGGCCAGTTCGGAGTAAACCATAAATCGCTGTTGATTTCCTTACCTAAAAACAAATTAGTGCCTGATAGGTTGATATGACAATTGACAGTGGTTATACGATCACCATTAGACTAGCTTTTCATTCCAGGTATTCAGTAAAATTTAAAATTGCACCATTTGTCATGGTAGATTTGAACCCATGACCCCAGATGATTAACCAGGACTTCTGGATTACCACTCCATAATAAGACCACTGCATCACCATTTCTCCCCAAATCACAGATGGCATTTATTCATAACAAAGGAAGTTACTGAGTCTTATATTGGTTATGCTTTTATATTTATATTCCAGAATAGGTACAGCAAAATCTGAGATAGTAAAGCACACGTGAACAGAAAGTCAAACTTCTCAGTGAGAATATCCCATGTAAAGATTGATCTTCTTCAGAAAAGCTTCCAAGTTGGATCACCTGGACTTGTTACCATTTGTCTTCATTTTAAATACATATAACTGCATACAACAATTGAATTGAAAGAGAAAAGAAACAACTCTGCAGGTAATCCAGTTTATGTGAAACCTGAAGGAACCAACTAGTGTTTAAATCTAAATTTCAGCATCCACTCTATTTAGTGGATATTTGCCAACCTGTTGGGATATATGCCAATCCAAAACCCAGTGTTCAGATTCCACTTTAAACTGCACAAATACCTGGCAATCTGGAATCTGCTTTTTTTGGAAAGATATGCAAAAAGTAGCTCATCTTTAAACATAGTCCCTATTCACAAATTGTATGTAAACTCATTTCTAGACATGCTCAACAGCTGAAGATTATAACAATGTATACCTGTACTAAGTTTACTCTGTGCCAAATGAATGACAAGTGTGACTTTGTGTAGGAACAGAATGTTTCATATTTAACTTTGCATGTAAACAAACTGGTAATTAATGGTCCAAAAAAATTGCGACATATTTTTTGATATATTTTGTGAAAGCACCAGATGACAAATAAGCCTAGATCTGCAAAGCTGAAAGAACCTGGTGCAGTCCAAGCTGCCAGATATTTATTGCAACCGCTTTCTGCGACTAAGCACTCTGGCTTTGAGTCGATTATGGCTGCCAGGAAATTTCAGAGACGGAGGACAAGATAAAGATCTGCTGTTCAACAAAGCACTTCTTGATCTGTAGTGGTGGATGAAGTGGTGAATGGTTTGTTTTCTCTTCTGCCTCACCCACCTAGACAAGTAGCAGCTAATCTCAGCCAGGTTAAACCTGAAAAGGCGTAGAAGCTAAAACAGCTAATTGCTGAGCAACAGAAAATAACTCTAAGATCAACATTGATTAGCCTCTTGTAACTGGTCAAAATAATGGCATGGTGATGACTGGACTCAAATGCTCCTCTCCCTACTACAACTGTTTCATCAAAACTTACAGCATTAAACAGAGAACCGGAATCAAATGGAGTGGGGAGAATGTGTTTTGTTAAAAGAAAAAAGTGGAGCAGTATACAAAAACAAAAAACCACTGTGGATGCAGTGGAAGAGTTGGTCAACACTTCCTAATTACATCTTCAATACTGAAGCAATACATGTCCAAGTACAGCAAGATCCGGACAACATCCAGGCTTGGACTGAAAAGTATCAAGCGACATTCACACCACACAATGCCAAGCAATCACCATCTGCAATAAGAGAAAGCATCTGACCACTGCTCCTTGACGTTCAGTGGCATTACCAATCACTGAATCCTCTAATATCAACATCCTATTACCATTGATCAGCAATTCATTGAGTCTTCACATAAACACAGTAGCTACAAGAGCAGGTCAGAGGCTAGAAATACTCCTGGCCAGTAACTCATTTTGAATCCTCAAAACCTGCCCACCAACTACAAAGGCACAAGTTTGAGGAGTGGTGGAATATTCCCCACTTACTTAGATAAATACAGTTCCAACAACATTCAAGAAACTTGACACCATCCAGGACAAAACAGCCCATTTGATTGGCACCACATCCATAAACATCCACTTCCTCCACCACTGATGCTTTGTGGGTGCAATATGTACAATCTACAAGACGCACTGCAGAAATTCACCAAGGCTCCTTAGACAGAACCTTCCAAACCTAATGCCATCCCCATCAAGATAGATAAGGATGCAGATACATAGGAACATCACCACCTGCAAGTTGTCTAAGCCATTCATTATCCTGACATTAGGGCAACTAGGGACAGGCAATAAATAATGGCCCAAGCAGCATCGCCCACATCCCAGAGTGAATTTTAACAAAAAAAAAAAAAAAAAATCAGGCACCAGTGATGGCAATATGCTGTTACATTTATCTTATTCGCTCATGACAGCCTGGAGTTTATTAAACGAAGTTGGTGCTTTAAAGTGAAATTACAGTCTTGTAATACAGAGGGTTCTTAGCAGGTTATGAATTTACTTTTTGTTGCATTTCCAGAAGGTTGGTTTTCAGGAGAAATTGAATTTGAAATGAGTTGCGGAAGTCCTTCTCTATTATGACCTCCCATTTTCAAACTAGTGCTATTAATTACATCAAACCATTTTCAAGACAAGTCATTTAAGCAGCCAATGGTTTTCTGCCAGAACAGTCTGCAGAACCACTTTCAGGTGATTTTGAAAGCAGCTATTAAAAGGTGGGTCCCTCATCACGTTGTTCCTAAACTCAGTCCTTTTGGAGACAAAGGATAATATGCAAGTTGATTAAACATCCTGTGCATAGATTTAACACCTTCAGAATTTGAGACAGCTAGTGTCTTGGAGTTTGAATGATTCATTCAATTTGCTTATACCCCTTTGGATTAGCTTCAAGAAATAGCTCCGACTCAGTCAGTCTGGAATGTTCCATTTGGTTGAGATAGGGAGAGTGGTTTCAATCCACAAAAGAAGTCAGATGACCCTCAGACAGCCATCTATTGTAGCATTTTGTGTTCAGTTTTAAAATATTTTAAAAAGTTTGAACTTTAGAATATACTGGGACATGGCATTACTAAAAATGCCAACATGATAAAGTGGTGCAAACAAATGAAATTTTGTTATCAGCCTTATCAAGTAATCATGAGCTACATTAAATTTGCAGAGACAAATTTAAAAAAAAAAGTGTTAGTGCAATATTTCCCACTACAGCAATTTTCTTTTTTTAAATTAACTAGCACCTATGGGACCAGGAGTGTGCCACTTGATCATATATTCTGGATAATCAAGAGGCCCACATAATCAAATGTAAAAATACACACCAAGTAATAGAAACTTAACACAGCGGGTATTCACATCACTTTATTTACAGCATAAATCACTTAAATAATAATGAAACTTTGCCTTAAATAAAGAAAACTTACCAGGAGAGAGCCTTCTCACTTGGTCCCTCAACTGACTATCAGACATCATAGTATTCAAAGAGAAGTTGCCTCGAATTTGAATCAACTGTTGATATTTTGTGTGGCCATTCGATTGAATATATTTATATTGAGGTTACAAAAAAAAAAAAAAAAAAAAATTTACAAAAAACTAAGTGGACAGAATAATACTGTGAACTTTGCGGTATTTGAGGTATATAATTTTTGCGGGTTTTCAGTGTGCCGGTTCATAAAGTGCCAGTTAAAGCAAAGTTTGCTATACGACATTTTGCCAGGATAACTAACACGCCAAGCCAGCTGATACTCCCAGGCCTTCATTCCATAATTCTTTACTTGGTCACAAAAGGTGCCAAGTTCTAGAATTTCTCTCATCACCCTAAGTCCATTGGTTGTCATCTTTGAATAGAGATGCAACAGAAATCAAAAGCTCAATACTAGGTAAAACGCAGACAAATGGAGAAGAAACAGAATCTACATCCTACTGCTTAGGTCATGCAATTTTACATATAATCACAGATTCTTTTTTTGACATAAGTTACATTAAAAAAGTTTACCTTGCCATAGAAATCACTCATTCGGTGTAGAGGAACGTGTTGAGTGCCGTCATACATTTGAAACACTTCCTCATCTGGTACTGGACTGAGTCCTCTGCAGGTATGTACAAACCTATTTCAGTAATTCTTAAGATCACTTATTTCCTTGACAAAATATATTTCTATATGAAGGTGAAACCTCGAGTAAAAAGCAAGCCAAACAAATAACTTTTTTTAAAATGAATATTTCTGCTAACAATGCATAATATTAGATAAAAGTTTCACCACCACCTTTCCAAGGGCAAATAAGAATGGATAAATAAATTAGTTTTCACAATAATGAAAATCTTGCTAACTTTAAAATTTATTGCTAAAGTTTAGGTGTCACTTAATGCAATATTTAATGCACATCGGGCAGTTAACAATCAACCATGTTGCTTTGGGTCTCCAGTCACATGTAGGCCAGGCCAGGCAACAGTGGCAGACTTCCTTCCCTACGAAGGGAGCATGAATGAACCAGATGGGGTTTTACAATAATCTAAAAAAGTGGTTACATGGTTGCCATTATGCTATCTTTTTATTCCAGATTTTTTTATTGCATTAAAATTCAACTGCCATGGTGGGATTTGAACCCGAAACTCTGTAATGTTAGCTTGAGGTTCCAGATTACTAGTCCAACTGCATTACCATTACACTACTGCCGGTTGCCTCATGATGCTGATATACCGAAATATTTTATATAAAAGGAAATTGAAATACACATGAATGACTGCAGCCTAATGTGAGCATTTTCACTTTTAGTACACATGGGTTGCCAATCTAATGCATAACAAGATAGGCAAGCCCAAAATGTTCTATACAAATAGACTTATTACTATCGAGTCTAATTTTGTTTGACATAGACCTTCAACACAAATTACACACGAGTATTCCAAATATGTACTTATCCAGTACAACTAAAGTTCACATTGTTTTCATGTAAGCTTGCACAATCTTCGACTTAAATGCCTTGGCAGTCTGGTACTCTTCTTGCATAATTAAGTCGGTGTTAAATATAGTACAGTTAGAACAGGACAATATTAACCCATACAGCATCTCATACCTGTACACTGTTCCTAACTGGACATAGTGGAAAGCATCAATCTTCATTAGAAATCCCTGCCAAAGAAAACAATATTTATTCATGGGTTGAACTTGTAGGGGTTATCACACTGATGTTACAAAACCCATGGGACATCATTCATTAACCTCCTTGTGGAGTCAGAATTCCCTTGGTAAAGGCAACGGCTTGCTCGGTTGGAACTCATTGGAGCCCTTTACAAAGCAGGCCATGAAGGATCTTGTGGCACAGTGGTAGTGTCCCTATCCCTGAACCAGGAGGCCCAGATTCAAATCCCACCTGCTCCAGAGTTGTGTAATAACATCTCTGAACAGGTCCATTAGAAAAACAGGTTCATTTAAAAAAGAAATATCACTCTGCTTTGGTGGTGGGAAAGTTGCTCAGATGTGAGAGATAGCATTTCTGGGTATAGGGAAAGAAAGTTTAAAAAAAAACGGACAAAATAGATTGGGGGGGGTGGGGGGTGGGGGGTGGGGGGTGGTGGATGGTGAGGCTTTGTGGTGCAATGGTAGTTTCCCTGCCTCTAATCCAGGAGGCCAGGGTTTAAGTTTCACCTGTTCCAGGAGGTGTGCAGTAATTCCAGAGTAGCATTCACACTGAACACTAACAATGCATTTGAAATATTTATAAAATGCATTAATGGAAAACAGATCATGTTGTAATGGAACTGCTTCTACTGCTCGAAATCAGTTTGAAATATGGGGTAAATTCATTCCTTTTAAAAATATCACGTTGGTTATGATAGGATACTTTTTCTTTGGATAGATCAGCTTAGGGAAGCCAATGTGTCAATCTTTGCCTGAAAGAGGTGAGGAATCTAAGAGATCACCTGTGTTTCTGGTATACACAAATAATCACTTGAATTGATGAGATGAAAAGCTTTGGTAGGAAGTCTCCTTTTCAGGCAATTTCCAGCTGTACTTGTTCATTTTTTTTTTTAAAAAACAAAAGAAAACATCGTATGCAGTTTTAATTTTAAAGTGAGTTAAGGAGGCAGATTGCTCATTTTCTATAATGGCAATAATAGATTAATTTATTCTCATTTATCAAAATCAAACAAGGCACTTTTCAATAGTTCAGTCCTATGATGCTAGGTATGGGATTTGTATTTTAAACATCATTTATTTTAGAGCTTGCAGTTTGAACCAGTGGCATGTGGGTTTAGGTCTGTGTATAAAGGGCTAATAATTAACATGTCAATCTTTCTGGAGCCATGATTTAAAACCAGTATGTGTAGGAGAACAGCTGACAGGGGTCCTCTTGGTGTGATAAAACAAGGTTGATATAAAAATTCTATTATGATCAGAAACAGCAAACATTTAAAAAAGGCATCAGCTTGCTTTTGGTTCAACAGAATTGAGACTTGATTTTTGCTTAGGAAAAACAGGTTAGAAAGCCTTTGGGGTAAGTTTGCAAAAGTCCTGGCCGGGGTAAGATGTACGAACAATTTTCCTGCAGAAACGAGATGGATTCAGAACAGATAGTAAATAGGATCTCTCAGAGCAAGGATTTTAGTTTGAAATTTACCGATTAGAAGTGTTTAATTAAGAAATATGAGGGGGTTACTTGAAGATAAGAAAGTTTATGAATAGTCAAGGTAAAGGCTTAAGGTCACAGGAACAGGAATTCTAAGTCAAACTTTTCAGTATGGTAGTAAAACAAAAAAAAAAACTCTAAAGTTGGAGAAGATTTGTAGCTCTGGTTGTGAATGTGTAGACATGCTCGCTGAGCAGGTGGGTTTGGTTGCAAACATTTTGTTACCCTGCTACGTGACATCAGTGCACCTCCAGTGAAGCGTTGGCGTTCTGTCCCGCTTGTTATTTGTATGTCTCGGTTTGCTGGGGTGATTGATATTATTTCCAGTTTTGTTTGTCAGCAGTTTGTACACAGGGTCTAATTCAATGTGTTTGTTGATGGAGTTTCAGGCCTCCAGGAATTCCCTGGCGTGACTGTTTGGCTTGTGCTATTATGGATGTGTTGTCCCAGTCGTGTCCCTCATGGTCTGTGTGTAGTGAGACAAGTGACAATTGGTCGTGTCTCTTGGTGGCTACTACTGCTGAACGTAAAGGATCCCATACCCAAGACCAGCAAAACTGGGGTAATATACAGAATACCACGCAAGGACTGTGAGAAACGCTACGTAGGCCAAACCAGAAGAGAATTGACTACGCGGATACACGAACACCAACTAGCCACCAAGAGACACGGCCAATTCTCACTTGTCTCACTACACACGGATAAAGAGGGACACTAATTCTCACTACACACAGACGAGGGACAACACATCGATAATTGCACAAGCCAAACAGAGACACGCCAGGGAATTCCCAGAGGCCTGGTATTCCAACCGAACTCCATCAACAAACACATTTGAATTAGACCCTGTGTACAAACCACTGAGAAACAAAAACCAAATCATCCCAGCATACAAATAACAAGCAGGACAGAAAACTGACGCTTCACCAGAGGCGCACTGATGATGTTAGCTAGCAGAGTGATGAAACATTTGCAACCAAACCCACCGGCTCAGCAAACATATCTACAACCTCAAAAGAACTCTTATTTTTCACCAATTTGAAAACTGTAAAAGAAGTGATGGTGTCAGGAACAGATGGGATTTTATCTTTGTGCTTCAAAATCTTCTCATTAGTGGCAGCCCTTATAAGCCATGGGAAGGCAGCACTTTTTAAATTGGTTCAATTAAACTGCTCATGGATGAGGAATTCAGACAGTCATAATCATCTACTGACCTATCTCCAGGATGTGGAAACACAACAGTTTCATTACTCATTCTGTCAGTGTTCCAGACTTGATAAGACCATTTAGACTATCAGTACAGTACAGCACAGCAAGGGGAGGCTGGCAGAATCATTACACAGCATGTTAAAATGTACACAAGTTGGGCGCCTAAAGAAGTGGCAACATCGGCGAAAAAGGGCAGATAGCAGATAGATGACAGCATCTGGAGGTGTCAGATGAAAAACAGGAGGTATGGAAACCATGCATCCCAAGGCCCATAGCTCCAGTTTGGACACAGCAGGCATGGAGTAGCAGTGACAAAGGCCTGTAATGAAGACCCCAGAGCCTGTTTCTGAGACTCTGGCTGATGTCAAGTATATTAAGTATTTCAAGATGGTGCCAGAGTATGACGACACTTTGTATATGACACACAAAAAAGCACTTTTCACTATATATGTGTGACAATAAAACTAAAACAAATCTAATTTATATGTAAATATCTTGGCTTATTCTATTCTACTTTCGTTTCTTTTGTCTAATAATCTTCTGCATTTTGGCTTACATTTCAAAAAAAAAACCACCACGTAGATTTAAAAAGTAATCCATCAGGCCAGAGTACAGTCTGGGATTGAATTTGTTCAGCAGTAACATTAGCTGGGATCTTAACAATTCATCTAAATATATTTTGGACATTAAGAGGAGCGACAGAAAATGTTAAAACTCCTTACAGCAATGTGCATCTATTAAAATGATACACTTCATGTAAACTGGATTGCTGGTGTACAGTTGGCCTCAAATCACTAGTGTTATCATCGGTCTATCTTCTAGAAAGTAATAAAAAAGGCACAAGATGTAAGTGAGACTACAGGGTTCAGTCCATACCAAAAAGGGATCTTACGGTTATGGCCCTGAGCAACATCATTATGCAAATGGACAATAGACAAGGTACTCTTCCACATCAGAATTCATCTAAAAAAACTGACAGAATATTCATCAACCATCACTGTACTGGTCATCATTTCTTTTCATGCAGTATAGTGGTTGATCTATTATGTGGCTCTTCTGCAGATAAGTGTGTCTGCTGAGCTACATCTGACCACATACATCCTAGAAAAGGAGTAAAACAGGACAGATGGTGTTTCAACTGTCAAGATTAAACAAACATTCAGCCTGTAAATTCATATCAGAAACAAGACAGATGGAAGGGATGTAACTCACAGCCATGTGGATTACAGACATTATACAAAAGTTTCCAAATGAAATTGTTAAGCCTCACAGTCACTGCAGATCCCAATGTACTGACAGCTTGAGAAATTGAGATTCAACTTAACAAATTCACATGTAAACTCTATCCCTTCAAAGATTTCACAGAACTAATTAATTACACATTAGAGAGTGTACAAGTAATTAATAAAAGAAAGCTCGGATTAGAAACAGAAAGACATCACAAAAAAACAAAATATAGAAATGGAGGGAAATAAATAGAAATGGAGACAAGATGAAATTGTGGAATAGAGAGAAGAATTGAGAAACAAGATGCAAAAGAAATAAAGATAGACAGGAGGTAAAATTAAAGGAAAATGGGTTAAGACAAAAAAAAAGAAATCATGAGGGAATGCATTTGGCCAGACTAAGTGCTCCAAAAGAAATTATTAAAAAAGGCAAAGAAGGAATGGAGGGAAATAGGACAGGGAACAAGAGATGCAAGAGAAAAATGGAACAACAGGATATAATCCAGACTTTAAAAGAACTGATAAAGCCAACAGAATGTTAAAGAGCAACTTGATCATGTAAATTTTGTTTTGCTCCTCAGTTAGATTGGCTACCCCTACACTGTATGTATGTATATTCTCAACTTAATGGAGTATGGTCTTCACGAGTTAGCTTTCTGAATTCTATTAGGAGTTGGTGAACTATGTAATAATAGTTTCACATAGTATGGCATGCAAATAGGATAATCCTATATGGTTTGGAAGACTATATTACACATTTACTGGCATACAAAAACTTATGAAAATATTTAATTTTAAAATTATTAAGTTGCATTTTACCTTCCGCACGTCATAATGGAGGCCTCTGATGGCAAAGTTAGGTTGATATTCATACTTCCTTATTCCTTCCGGATACTAAGATAAATAAATTGAGATAAATGTTCAAGGTTCAAAGCCTCAAAAATACAACATTCAGCACAACGCCATCTTTTGTTCCAAATAATCAGAACCTGGGAGGCATTTCTCGTTGTGTGCTCTCCTTTAGAACTCAAATTTATTTGTCAGCATTAAAACAACAACATAACAATTTAGGTGCTGTATAATTAAATGTTTTAAGCTTACAGTTGCTCGAAAAAAAAAGTAGCAAATTAATTCTGACTTTACTCATTGCTTGATGGAATTGTATTAATCCCACTGAAATCTGCTAGTTTTAGTCACTTGCTACCGAGTCGCAGAAGCGGTGTACTACAAAATTATAGACTAACTTAATCACCACCATTAGGTAGCCACCTCTACCCATTAATTATTCTCCACATTGTACTCAGGAATAATTTCCCACTGATCAATGGTGTACTTATCCAATGCATAAAAATGCTCAGACTCAAGATGCTTAAAAAAAGATCAAGCATTATAAAATGCAATGGTAAGATATATGTTAAGTTACTATCAGAAGCAAAAACACACATCTCAACATCAGCATGACAGATTAATGTTTGAAGTGGGGGCTCTTTGATTTTATATTCAGTTGGAGACTCCCTTTAGAACTTTTCTTTTGAATAGAAATCTATTTGGAGTAGTCTGAAATATCCCACTTAAGAAGTCTGTCTGCTAGCCTAATATCCCAGTTCACTTCAGCTAACTCAGTTTTCATGCTCACATAGATGACCTATTTATGGTTAAAAAAATAAGAGTCTTTGACCTGCTCCCCTTCAAAACAGAATGTAAAACTTCCAAATCACACTATGGTCGCTGCTACTTAGAGATGAAAGATTAAGTCAAATTCAATTTTATTTGCAATAAACATGGGTAACTCAGCTAGTGTTAAGCATTTGTACCGTAAGTGTAAAACTAAAAAATAGCTTAACTATCGAATTTCCATTATCTGCTAACAAAGGTTCATTATTTTATAAATGAGTCAGATGTAATTGTAACAGCACTGAGCTTGAAGAAATTAGTGTAATAATTTTGAAAAGCAAGTACCTTGTATTGATCAATGAGTATTTCTCGTGCAGTATTGAAGATCATTGTGTGCAGCAAATTGGAATATTGTGCAAGAGTATAATCATAATCAAATCCATAAATTTCAATGTTCCCCAAATTAACCTCATTATTGGAATAGATGTTTGCAGGATTGAGGAGGTTGCAAATTCCTGGGGGAATGAGTTCTAGAAAGAAAAGTTACAACAAATTAGTTACAAAATTCTAAACAATTAAAAAACTGTGGTATTCTACCTTTGTGTAGGTAAAGTGTCAGAACTATCATACCTCCAAAGTTAAAGGGGGTGGGGGGTGGTGTGGAAATTCTGTTAAATAGCCAATCCTATTAATGCTGCTTTTAGTTGCTTCTAACTACCAAGTGAGGAAAAAAAGACGAACAGAAAACCAAAAACCATACAAACAAACCTCTCTCAGGTAACAAGGTGTAGAGCTGGATGAACACAGCTGAAGAAAGGGTCTAGGCCCAAAATGTCAGCTTTCCTGCTCCTCTGATGCTGCTTGGCCTGCTGTGTTCAGCCAGCTCTACACCTTGTTATCTCAGATTCTCTAGCATCTGCAGTTCCTACTACCTCTCAAACAAACCTTTCATCCTTTTTCTTAAAAAGGGATTTACTTTTTACAAATATCAGCACATCCTGTCAAGCCTCCATTCAGAATATTGTATATTTCAATGAGATTGCATCTCATTCTTTTAAATTCCAGAGTCTAGACACAGTCAATTTAATCAGCCTCTCACCATATGCTAATTTTCACACCAAGAATCAGTTCAGTACAGTAGACATTTACTATCCTCAAGGCAAGAACACCCTTCCTTAGGACATGAAGGCCAAAATTGCTCACAGGTGTTTACATATTTTCTGACAAAAAAAAGATGCAAGTCACAAATGATTTTTCATGCTGACATTCCATGAAACATTTTTGAATATATGGTTTCCCGTTGCATCATTCAGTATATTTATCTGCTCAATCTTCCCTCACACCAATGTAAATTGTCTTTGTTGAGTATAAGCTTTTTTCTGAACTTGAGCATGCCACTCTAAATCAAGTGAAATTTAATTTTATCATGATTGTTTTCAAGGATTTTCCACTGAGATTATAAAATTAATACCAGATTAAAGATAGCTTTATTCCCCAGTTGTTTCACAATGTTTTGTAGGGGCAGCTAATGAAACCATCTCGATAAACCAATCCCTATTTCAGTTTATCCAGCTTGTATGGAAATTGCATTCCGTCCCCACCCAAGCTTAAATTTCTTCTTGTTAATGCTCTCTAAAAAGATGAAAAACACCAATAGGGAATTGCCTACAGAAGCCACTGCAGCAGTGCTGTCTGAACCTTGTCATTCCCGATTTCCAGCACTTCCAATTCTACTTGCTGGTGTTCTAAAGCCAAGGCCCTTTCTCACTGCATCTTGATGTTGTCATCCTTTATTATCAGGGCTACTCATCCTCTGTTCCCTTCTGCCCGACTTTTTGAAATCTCGTGCATCTTGGAACTTTTAAAGTTTCCAACCTCAGTTAACTTTTTACCATGTCATGGTAATGTCAGTAAACAAAAATTAGAGATAACAACGTGTAGAGCTGGATGAACACAGCAGGCCAAGCAGCAGAGGAGCAGGAAGGCTGATGTTTCGGGCCTAGACCCTTCTTCAGAAATTACATTCTAGGTTACCAATTACCAGCAGGCAACACCATGGGGAGATGAAAGCATGAAAGCATTGCAACCTTTATCTCACTGCAAATTGCCTGTATTATATTAGGCTTTATCACTGAATCTGGTTGTTTTGCACATGCAATTTCAATGTCAAGGATAGTTATATAATTGCTTCCATTGAGAAAAGGAAAATTGTTTTAACATTTAAACTTTAGCTCAAACTTTAGTAAAACAATTGCAAAGAAGAAACGTCAACTAAATACCCTATTTGCTTGCAAGAGATAGCCATAGTACATTCTATTCTACTAATATTCTACAAAAGCCTATGACCATGTTCCTGAAGATTTGCTTTATAGAATACTATTTGGCAAGGAGGCACTTTCTCCTGTTTCGTCACATTGTTAACAGTAAAGTAAAGCAATGTTCAGAGTTAGGTGTGGAAAATGTACAGGAATGCACTCAGGAGAAAGAAAATATACAAGATAAGATATAGGAGCAGAATTAGGCCATCTGGCCCATAGAGTCTGTGCTGCTATTCAACCATGGCCGATATATGTTTCTCAAGCTCATTCTACTGCCTTCTCCCCAAAACCCTTGCTCCCCTTACTAATCAAGAACCTATCTCTGCCTTAAGTACACTTAACAACTTGGCCTCCATAAGCCTTTGCAGCAATGATTTCCACAGAGTCACCATGCTCTGGCTGAAGAAATTCCTCCTCATCTTAGTTCTAAAGGGTTGTCCCTTCACGGAGATTGTGCCCTTGGATCCTAGTATCTACTACTAATAGAAACATCTTCTCCACATCCACTTTATCTAGGCCTCTCACTATTCTGTAGACTTAAATAGGAAACCCCCCCTCCATATCTTTACAAACTCTTGAGTACAGTTGAAGGATCCTCACCTGCTCCTCACACGACAAGTCTTTCATCCCCAGGATCATTCTTGTAAATCTCTTCGGGACCTCCTCAAATGTCAGCACATCCTTGCTAAATACGAGGCCCAAATCCACTCAATATTCCAAATGCAGTCTGATTAGAGACTTATACAGCCTCAGTATACATCTCTGCTCTTGCCTCTTTTTTCTGGCCCTCTTGAAATGAAAGCCATTTGTCTTCCTAACTTACTAATGGAACCTGCATGTTAACCTTAAGGGAATCCTAAACTAGGATTCAAGTCCCTTTGCACTTCAGATTTCCAGAGCCTTTCACCATTTAGAGAATAGTCTATGCCTCTACCAAAACGTATAGCCGCACACTCTGCCACATTCAGCAAAACCAAAAAAAAAGTGGTAGGCGGAATACAATTGCCTAGCCTGTCCAAGTTTGTTTTACAGTAAGGAAACTGTAGCCAAGACATGAGACATAGAATTTCAGAATATCATATTTAAATTTTGGTACGTCCTCTCCCTCCTCATTCATATAAAAGCAAAATTACAAAGATATTCAAGCCTGAGAAGGCCTTCAGCAGTTAAAACACACTGCTGATTCTTACTTTTCACTGAACTTCTATGCCAAATCTTAAAAATATACCACTACAAGTTGAGGTTGTTCTGATAATTGAAGGTCTACTGTAAAAAGATTGTCAATGATGTAATAACAGCTGCTAAGTGTAGGAGCAAAAACAAAAAAAAACTTTGCATGTGTTCACGCACGTTTGGCATATGTGGGAAAGCTTGAGGATGGAGGGAGGAAGTGGGAGAAAGTCAGGGAGTGTTTCAGAATTCTCCAAGTTATTTCTACAATATAAGCAACGAATAATAAAAATCTTCCATTTCATCATTTCAATATAGTTAGCTTAAGCAGAATTTTGGAAATTCCTACTAGCGCCTCAGGAACATGAATGTTAACACTTGTATAGGTAAAAGTAGTGAACCCATGAGGTCAAAATAGTAAAAGTGAGGTTTTCCTACCTTAGTTAATTTTATTAATTAGCCAACATGCTGCAAACAGAATGTGACAAACTTGTATTTGTTATTTTGAAAAACAAAAGCAAAAAAAGGTGGGCATTAGAAACATGAAAAGAAAACACAAAATGCTGGAAATACTCAGCAGGTCATAGAGATATACAGCATGGAAACTGATCCTTCGGTTCAACTCGTCAATGCCAACTGGATATCCTAAAGAAGTTTATTTTCATTTGCCAGCATTTGGCCCATATCCCACTAAATCCTTCCTATTCATATACATCCTTTAAAGTGTTGTAATTGTACCAGCCTCCACCACTTCTCATTCCATACACACTCGCACACACATGCGCCACCCTCTGCGTGAAAAACTTGCCACTTAGATCCCTTTTAAAATCTTTCCTCTTTCACCTTAAAGCCAGGGGAAAAGACAAGGTCTTTCTCCCCTATCCATGCCCCTCATGATTTTATTAACCTCTATAAAGGTCACCCCTCAGCCTCCGACACTCCAGGGAAAATAGCCCCGGCCTACTCAGCTTCTCCCTATAGCTCAAACCCTCCAACCCTGGCAACATCCTTATCAATCTTTTCTGCACCCTTTCAAGTTTCACAACATCCTTCCTATAGGTCTGGCACATCTGTTGACAGGAAAAAGTTAAGTGGATGGCCTTTCCTCAGAACGAGGGGAAAAAAAAAAAATATAAAATCTAGTTCTATTCGTATAGAACGATGTTAAGTGGATATTTGTTTTAAAAGAAGAAAGAGAGTGGGAAGAACAAAACTGAAACTACTCTTGCTTCTGGATGGCAACCATTAAAGATTCTGTTATTCACACCTCCCCTAGATACATTGATTGTTTTGTTTCTTTACTTGTCCTATTCCCACTCTTTTAGCCTGGCAACTTGAAACTTTTTGTCATCAAACTTCTTCCAGCCTCCATCCTATCAGGCTTCCCCTTTTGTTGTTCTTCCCCCCCCCCCACCTCCTTTAACTTGCTCAAAACCTATTCCATCTCAAACCTTTCCTCATTGCATCAGAAGACCATGGACCCAAAATGTTAACTCATTTTCTCTCTCCACAGATACAACTTAACTTTATTTTTAAAACCACTAAAATTTTATTTCACAAATATAGGCTGGTAATAAAAATCAGAACAGCAGAAGTGTCAGTGTCATACAGCATTGAAACAGAACCTTTGGTCAAATCCTTCTATGTTGACTTGGTTTCCTAAACTGAACTAGTCTCATTTGCCTGCATTTGGCCTATATGCCTCAAAAGCCATTTGGATCGACAAGGTTTAAAGTGTTGTAATTGTATCTGCCTCTACCATTTCCTCTGGTAACTTGCTCCATATATACACCACCTTGTGAAAATGTTGCCCCTCAGATCCCTTAAATCTTTTCCCTCTCATTAAACGTGTGCCCTCTAGTTTTGGACACCCCTACCAAAACCTGGTGAAGAGAGCTTATCCCTGTCCCTCATGATTTTATCAACCTCTAGAAGGTCACTGATCAGCATCCTATGCTCCAGGGAAAAAAAAAGGTCCCAGCCTATCCTTATGATTCCAGCATCCTAGACTTTGGTAACATCCTTGCAAATTTTCTAAGCAC